CCTCCCAAGAAGCAGGCATCTTTTAATTTTGTGGCTGCTGTCACCATCTGCAGTGATCAGGGAGCCCAAGAAAGGTAGTGCCAAATCTGTCACTGCCTCCATATCTTCCCCTACTATTTGCCAGGAGGTGATGGGCCCAGTGGCCATGATCTTAGTTTTTTTGATGTTGAGCTTCAGACCATTTTTTGGCACTTTCTCCTTTCACCCTCATTAAGAGGTTCTTTAATTCCTTCTCACTTTCTGCCATCAGAGTGGTATCATCTGCCTATCTGAGGTTGTTGATATTTCTTCCAGCAATCTTTATTTGGGATTCATCCAGTTCTGCCTCTTGCATGCTGTATTCTGCATATAAGTTAAATAAGCCGGAGGACAATATACAACCTTGTTGTACTCCTTTCCCGATTTTGAATCATTCAGTTGTTCCATATCCAGTTCTAACAGTTGCTTCCTGTCCCACGTATAGGTTTCTCAGGAGATAGTTAAGTGGTCAGGCACTCCTATTTCTTTAAGGACTTGCCATAGTTTACTGTGGTCCACACAGTCAAAGGCTTTTGCATAGTCAATGAAACAGAAGTAGATGTTTTTATGGATCTCTCTGGCTTTCTCCATAATCCAGCGCATGTTAGCAATTTGTTTCAAGTTGTTCTGCCCCTTCGAAATCCAGCTTGTACTTCTGGGAGTTCTCAGTCTACATACTGCTGAAGCCTTCCGTGTAGGATTTTGAGCTTGCTAACGTGTGAAACTAGTGCAATTGTACGGTAGTTGGAACATTCTTTGGCACTGCCTTTTTTTGGGATTGGGATGTAGACTGATCTTTTCCAATCCTCTGGCCACTGCTGAGTCCTGCCTTTTCATGTTCTTGTTCCCACACCCTGCTTCTTTAGATCATCTTCCTCTGTTCTATATTTAACAGCTATCCATGCAACAAGTGCAACTAATAATAGTGTAGCTGCAGCTGTCCATGGAATTCCTTCGTTGGCACCTGAAATGATTTCATTTCCCTTAGAGCCAGTTGTAAATCAGTTTATGCTTCAGGCACCTATCTGATGATTCACACCTATTCAAGTGTGAATCACTTGGCAAAAGCTGAATTTAGCAGATTTGTACCAGTAACTCATATTCACACCTGTAATATTTCTCGGGGTATCATCAAACTTAATTCATATACAGAAGAATAAAAAATGGACACAGGCTTTGGTGAATCGCATCTTTGCAAAAGGTGTCCAGCTGTTAACAATAACAAAAGGGGCTTCCCTGAGCATTTTTCTCAATTTTCTGTTTTCTCCCCTCCCAACCTACACAAAAGTCTTGCCTGGCGCAGTTCTTTCAAGGACAGGCAGATAAGTTCTTGTCTAGCCAAGCAGTTTAACATGTTATGATTTTACATTCTTCTTTGCCATGTATTTTATTATTTTTATTTGCATTCTGATAGAGTTGGTAGTTTCCGTCTGTAAACTGCAGCAATATTAATTGTTTTAAATATCAGTCAATAAACACAGAATGCTAAAGAAAGACAGTATTCAAAAATGTTAATAGAAGCAATGAGTGGCTCATATTATCCTAGAAAAATCTTGTTGTTTAGCGCTGCTGCTGGTGGTACAATATATTTTGCTAGTAAATATTTTGGTATAAGATGAGCACAGACCATGGCCTTCTTAAAGACTGCAAGTGCCTGAAGCCCCAGTCACTGGGCATGCTGGTTGTGAGACCTGTAGTCCAAGAAAGTAACTTTTTCCATGCCCTGAGTACATCTACTCAGAATTACATCCCGCTGGGTTCAGTGTTATTTAATTGCAAGCTCCATGGGTCGTATTCCCAGCTTTTCTGCTTAGGACTTCATCCTATTCCCACCTACGTGGAAATGAGTAATGAATTCAAGAGTGCTGGGGAGAACATGCTTGCATAATGCACCATGTAATTCTCATAAAATGTTGACCTTACTGACATAACGCAAAGCATGCTGCTTCTTGTGTACCTCCCCATATTACTTAAAGCACTCTCTGGGCAGTTTACAGTTTTAATTATGCAGGCTGCACATTGTGCCTTCCCCTCAGCAAGCTGTGTGCTCAATTTACCAACCTCGGAAGGATGGAAGGCTCAGTCAACCTCAAGGCAGCTACCTGGGATTAAACCTGGGACATGAGCAGAGTTTTAGCTGCAGTATTGCAGTTTAACCACTGTGTCACCAAGGATCCTTCTGACAAGAGGGCTTCTGGGCATTGGCCTGCTAAACATTTAACTCTTATGCTGATGGTTTGAATGATAGAGTCTTTCAGCAAATCTCAGGGAAGACCCCTTTCTCTTCCCTTTCCTAATGTAGCCAGACATTTTGGAAGAAAAAAACGGCTGAGGTCCATGCCAGCTTAGCAATAGAGATGAACAAGACATTGCTTTCATAAAGTGCCCCTCGTGATCAACCAACTATGGTATGACAGCAGCCTTTTGAATAAACGATGGCCGTGATTCACGCCAAGTCTCTTTCTCCACAGTGATCACAAGGCCGTGCAGCCTCATGTGCATAAAAACTGTTTGTATCCTCCAAACATTGGTTGTTCAGTGCAACGTACATTACAAGCTATAAATCAGTGACTTCAGCTTTTGTTATAAAAAGAGGATGATGTTGCACATAAACACATCTGAATTTTTCCTGGCACAACTAGCAGGCTGTCTCAGCAATGCTGGTCACTATGCAGCAATGAGGGGCCCGTACAGAAAGCATCAGCAAAAGCTAGTAGATGTATATTGTTTTTTTTTAATATATATTTTTAGGTGGGGTTTGTATGCTGCAGTACCTGTATTGTTTCCAGAAGCACCCAGGTACTAAATCTAGCATTTCAAGGTAGATCTGGGGCAATGTCAGCAAAACTGGAGTTTTTTTTAAGGACAGAAACTCTGTAATGAGAACAAGCCCAGGAAATACATCACTCTGAAGTCTAAAAGGTTTTCCTTTATAAAACCCAAACCATTTGAGATTTCTTTGGCAGATGGAACTTGACAAGGCTATAGGAGTCTAGAAATACATTGTGTGCAGAAGGATGCGGAAAACATAGTCACTGATTTAGCTATTGTAGTCTCACTACTGGTTCCCCTGTTGCCCCTGTTAACAAATTGGGAGCCAGACTCAGAAAATTTAATTCTCTTGTAACCCCCTTTGGAACAAATTCTCCTTATCTGTTTATAATTTAATAATTGTCCGTAGTTTGCTGCCTTGAAGGTAAATCAAACTATGCTTTGTAGTGGGCTTTAAGATTAATAGAAAACATTCTGATTTCTTCTGTAGGAGAAAATAAGGGATTTAACAGCTAAAGGTAACGGTAAAGGTTCCCCTTGACATTTTAAGTCCAGTCGTGTCCGACTCTAGGGGGCGGTGCTCATCCTGTTTTCAAGCCGTAGAGCCAGCGCTTGTCCAAAGACAGTTTCCATTGCCACGTGGCCAGCGTGACTAGGGAACGGCGTTTTAACTTCCCACCGATGTGGTACCTATTTATCTACTCGCATTTACATGTTTTCGAACTGCTAGGTTGGCGAGGAGCTGGGATGGAGCTACGGGAGCTCAATCCGTTGCGTGGATTCGATCTTACGACTGCTGGTCTTCTGACTCTGCAGCACAGGCTTCTGTGGTTTAGCCCACAGCGCCACCACGTCCATCGTGGTAGTTTTGCTGACATTGCCCCAGATCTACCTTGAAATGCTAGATTTAGTACCTGGGTGCTTCTGGAAACAATACAGGTACAGCGGCATACAAACCCCATCTAAAAATATAAACTTTTTAGATGGGGTTTAACAGCTAGAATATGCCAAAATGCTGTGGAGAACCTGCTTTGATAAATCTTCCGGTCTAAAGCAGGTTTGAAGAAAAGGATTTCAGAATTATTATATGTGATACTCCCTGGAATTCCTTATGGACTGATTCATCAATCGAAACAGAATCTGCAAGAATTAAACGTTATCTAAAATTAATAAATGAGCGGCCTCTCAGAACACAAAAAAATAATTTATATAGATAAGTAAGGTTCTCCTAAACATCTTGGGGGTGGTGGACAGAGAATGACCAATATTCATGTGTGATGGTTTTGCTCATTTGTTTTATCTTTTTGGATGATTATATTTCATTGAAATAGAGGCTGTCTCAAAAAGTATAGAGGGATCTCCTGTGTTAAGACTCAGGAATACTACTTCTCTCCAACACAAGATCTCAGTGTTATGTCTAGCTGCCAGATTAGTTCCAGCTTGCTGCTGGAAACAAAAAGATGATACCATCTCCAGCTGGGTATCATTCAAGGTCTGGCACCAAGCCTTAATGCACAAAAGGACTGCCTATGCTAGACACATGAATACAAGGAAGCAATCAACTGGGTTTCTACAAGCTGGGTTTCCCTTTGCAGAATATAAAATTCCAAGATAAGATATTGGTCTCCTTCCAAACTCTCATACTGATTCATGTGAAGGTGTTCTTTTTTCGATGAATTATGGTTATGTATAAAATGAACCATTATATATAAGATTTGTATGTCCTATTGTTCATTTCGTATTGTTGTGCAAGATTTTTTTAAAATTAAAAATTAAGGGGATTATTTTTAAAAAAATTGTGGGTGATTGATCTTCACCCCAGTTAACGCTTCTGTTTATCTTCGACATATGGGAATTTTCATGGGTCAGGAAGTACCTTACTCAGTTCAGATTATCCCTTTCATCCACCTGGAGGAGGGTTAGCAGGACAAAAACTCCCTGAAACATTAAAATAGCATTTCTAGGCTGCCTGGCTTTCTGTGTGCAGGATTTCCTCTATGGTGGAGCACTGCAAAATGTACGCATGCACAAGGACACACTGTACCTGTAGCATGAAATAATGAGACCCAGGAACACATTTTTCTACCTTATACGGCTGCCTGCATAGGTTGGTCTTAAGGCTTCCTTCTGTCACGGCCTTGTACCCTGGCTTGTTTTACATTGCCTTTCTTCACCTCATTGATGGCAGTGCATTTTGCTTTATTCCCCAGGTACCCAGATGAGCTGCTTTTCTCCAAGTTCGTTTTCCTGGCGCCAGGCTGCTTATGTGGACTCTTATTGCTGGGCAGCTGTGCAGCAGAAACAACATTCACAGAGTGACTCAGGACACCTCCCGCTCTGGCTTCATAAAGTTTGTATAGATCAATTCGTACTCTTTATTACCTTCTCCCTCCTCCTTCAAAGTAGAAATCCAGCTCATCTTTATTACCTTCTCCCTCCTCCTTCAAAATAGAAATCCAGCTTCTGTGTAGCATTCATTTCATGCCCATTCATTGGTCGCTTGGCCCATGTTTGATATACAAGGGACCTTGTCTGTTCATTTTGATACGGCCTATTTTTGCCTAAAATATATCTTCACATGAGTTTCTTAGAACCTATGCATTTAAATACTTCACAGGATGCCTTTTTGTAGGTCATGAACATCCCAGGTAACTGGCACCTATAGAACTGAAAGCACTACAACATATGTATTTTATGGTTTGCTAATAAAACTTCAAATTGTAAAAAATAAAGATTTAAAAAATATAAGTCAGTGTAAAACTATTTCCAAGCCACAGTAATAAAACAGTTTAACATAAAAAAATAATCAGTTGAAAACTATATTAAATAGATAGTTTTCTAAAGTCTTTCTCTAAAGATGGTTTTCTAAAGCAGCGGTCCCCAACTTTTTTGGGGTCGTGGACCGGCTGGGAGGAGGGAGCTCCATGCTGGGGGAAGCGAGCTCAGCTACAATTTCCAGGATACACCATAACACTAGGTGGATGATTTTAGGAATTATGGTCTTAAAAAAGAAACTTTTCTAAACTCTGCTTTAATCCATGAAAACTTGTGTCATACAATGCATGTATTAAAAGTGGCTGGACTTTTTTTTTAGCTGTGGAATACACAACTGATGACAAATATATAACGGTGATGGTTTGAAATAATAAAGAGAATGTCAATAAAAAGTATTCTTCCTGACAGCAAAAGACATTAAAAAAGGACAAAATGTACAGGTGAGGTTTGCAGACAGAGGAAAGCTGACAATAAATTAAAAATAAAAGAAATAAATTCACATATAGGGCATGGGTGGGATCAAATGTTTTCACATCAGGATTTATTTGACTGCTCCTAGGAATTTATTTAAATTCTCCAGGCATTGAAAGATGAGCCCTTGGCTTTCTTGGATGCTGCAAAGATTGCTTAGATCATTTCCCAGATATGAGCTCATTTCTCAGAAGAATAAACATTGTGGAAGTCAGCCAATCCAAGTAGCTCTGGCTGGCCTTTCCTCCTCTCTGCTGCCTTTTCATATGGTTGCAATCCATTATGCTAATATTTCTATCCCCTGGCCGTCCTCATCATAGCGCAGTGAAATCTGAATTCTCAAGGCGTGGTTGGAAGTTTGAATAGCTACTTTCAATCTGCATTTATGATCTGTTAGCCTGATTGTGTACTTTAGCCTTATGGTACAGTGGTTAAACTGGTTCTGCAGTCAAGGCTCTGCTTGCCTCCCTCACTGACCACTCAGGGTGTGCTGCTCGTTCCCTCCTCTTCGCATAATCTTCCAGTCCTGGCAGGAGCATGGGCTTCCCTCCTCCACCTCTTCTGTCAGCTACCAACCCACAGGCAGGGCTGCAGGAATCCCTGCCACACCTCCTTGTCTGAGGACTGACTACAACTCCCATCATCCTTCAGCATCGACTCTGCTGGCTGGCACTCATTGGGGTTAGTCCGGGGACATTTTAAGGCATGACACTAAGATTACAGTCCTTTGTAAATCTGGTTAGAAATGGGTCCCACTGTAACTATGCCTAGAATGCCAGACTATAATCATCTATTGCATTTTCAAAAATCTGCATTGCAGAAACAAACCATACATTAATGAGACTATGCATTCGTTTCCTAAGTTTGGACCACAGATTTCTTGGTCTGCTTTGCTTGCCTTGCCTTGACCTGACTGAAGATGCATCTGGATCTAAACTAACCTTATCTTGGTGGTTTCCTTTCCCAGTTTTTCCCCTACATCCTTCTGCTATTAGCCATCTTGCTGTACCTGCCATACCTCTTCTGGCGCTTCACTGCAGCTCCTCACCTTTTCGCTGACCTGAAGTTTATCATGGAAGAACTCGACAAAGCCTATAACAGAGCGATCAAAGCTGCAAATAGCTGTTATAATAGTGATATGAGGGACACAGCCGGCTCCACACCAGTCGTTAATGAGAACATTGCTCAGAGGTGAGTGTCCCATCTCTTGCCCTTTCCTACTTTCTAAATTTGTTTTTAATGAATTTCACTTGAAATCACAGGAAACGGGTGAATTCTTGAAATCATGGGAACGGGTGAGTCGCCAGAGGATTGGAGGAGGGCCAGTGTTGTCACTACAGTATCTTCAATGTTGTCCCTATCTTCAAAACGGGCAAAAAAGAGGAACCTGGGAACTACAGGCCAGTCAGCCTGTCATCAATCCCAGGCAAAATTCTGGAACAGATCATAAAGTGGTCATTGTGCAAGCACTTAGAAAACAAGGCAGTAATAGCTAGAAGCCAACACGGATTTGTCAAGAACAAATCCTGCCAAACTAATTTGATCTCAGTTTTTTGATCAGGTCACCTCCCTGATAGACAGAGGGAATGCTGTAGACGTAGTATATCTTGACTTCAGCAAAGCTTTTGACAAAATGCCCATGATACCCTGATTACCAAGCTAACTAGGTGTGGGCTGGATAGATCAAGTGTCAGGTGGATACACAATTGGCTACAGAATCATACTCAGAGGGTGATGATTAATGGGTCCTTTTCTAAGTGGGAGGAGGTAACAAGTGGGGTACCCCAAGGCTCAGTCCTGGGCCTGCTGCTGTTCAATATTTTTATTAATGACTTGGATGAGGGAATGCAGGGTGTGCTTGTCAAATTTGCAGATGATACCAAGTTGGGAGGAATAGCTAATACCCTAGAAGACAGAAACAAAATTTTAAAATGACCTTGATAGGATGGAGCACTGGGCTGAAAGGAACAGAATGAAATTCAACAGGGATAAGTGGGAACTACTGCACCTCGGAAAAAGAAACCAATTGCACAGTTACAAGATGGGGGATACCTGGCTTAGCAAAACAACAAGTGAGAAGGAATTGTCATAAATCACAAGCTAAATATGAGCCAACAGTGTGATGTGGCTACAAAATAGGCAAATGCTATTTTAGGCTG